AGCTTGAGGCTCTGTCTCAAAAACAAAAAAGAAGAGGGGCCTTTTCAGACTGAAGATCTAGAAAGACTTAAAAAGAAAAAAAAGAAGAGGGGCCTTGGCCAAGAGGGGTGAGGGCTGAGAGCCAAGGCCCGGCTGTGCAGAGTACCAGGAGCCCTGCGAAGGCCCCAGGGACCTGCTGGGTTGCCAGCTTGCCTAGAGGGTCCTAGAACCTCTAACCTCGTCAGACACACAGTGGACACATGGTGCCTACCTCAACATGACAGGCAGGGAAGGGCACCCAGGAGAGAGGAAAGGGGCAGCCTTCACAGAGTAGATGGCTATGGGAGGGCAGTGGATCCGCACATTTCCTAGGGGAGCCCTTCCCAGACAGGTCTCTCCCAGCTAAGAGCAGACCACTTTCTTAAGGAGTGTTTTCTTAATAGTTTGGGGGAAAAAACATGGGTGCACACTAGACACAGGAGCACATTTTACACAGCAAAACATAGCAGTTTTCCCACGATTTTATAAAATTGTGAAGAAAATAATCATCCTGAAGAGTCTCTGCCAAAGCACTCAACTCTACACTCTCCAATTAACATTTGTACTTCATTTGTTGATGCCATGAAACTCACACATCACGATTTATATGACTGAACTCCGTGGATAGCAGGTACATGTGTACTTTCAAATGAACTTCTCTAGAAAGTCATCATGCTCGTATCCACATCACCTCACCATTAACTCTCTGCTTGGTATCACAAAGCAAAGAATACCAATCTCTCCTTCCTACGTGTCTTCATTTCCCAAACTACAGATGAGATCTCTGAGAGCAAATCATCTTGTTTATGAACATAATCCCTGCCCCTCCTCAATGCCTACCAACTCCACCTCCTGCCCAAGCAGGTTCTCTGCTCGTGCTTCACTGACTTTGTTGCGCTACTTTTCATCATAAACATGTTCTTATTGGTTATGGCTAGAAGAGATGCAAAGAACACCAACAAACTTGTTTTTAATTTCTGCCCTCCAGGCCCTTCTTCAAATATCTAGATGACACAAGGCTAATTTTTAAAATAAACAATCCCAATTATCAGTGCCTTTGAAATCAGTAGAATCATGCGTACTACAATTTAAAAACTATGAAAAGTGCCAGGTGC